TAGACGGCATTGATTTTTATAGTCTCGATTGATGCCCCGAGATGAGCAATTTCACTGTCCTCGTCTTGGTTTGGAATAAAAAGAAGAAAAAAACAGACAGTGGTGAGGAGAGGCAGGTCTGTTTGTAAAACCAGTTGTTAATTGGCTAATGGCTTGTTAATCACAAGCAAATTAGCTTATTGTGGCAAATCCTCTTTTTGAAACATAGTATGACCTGGATTTACAAAATAGATGTAATATTTCATTCAGCATGAACCCAGAATGAGCAGAAAAATGTTTACAGATCAAGTCAGAAAGCTATTTTCCTACAGTGAACTATAGTACGGGAAGGCTCTTTGTAATCACAACTATCAACAACTAACTATGTGGTGGGCTTTGGGTAAAGTGCAGGTTGAAGGCGCTCATTTTTCCAACCGGAAGCTAGTTTTATACTGTCTTTGGGTATGTCTGCGAGTGCCATATATGTTACTGGTAAAAACAGCTTTGGAAGAGAACTCGTTATTGCTAAGAACAATAGGCAGCCAGGAAAACTAGCTTGAAGTAACAGCATGCAGTTACGTCTAGCAAGTGAACTCAGGAATCAAAAAAAGGTGGAGCGTTAGCTGCTAGCGTTAGCAAACAATATCCTTTTCTCCATGTAATTAATAGTCTGAGTAAAAGAAAGAGACTTGATATGAATTGGAATATTGTAAACACTCAATAGTTTACAATGGTGTCTGTAAATATTACACTGCATGCACTGATAAGAAAAATCTGTGTGCTGTAACAAAAAACAGTTATAATTGTGATAAGAAATGCAAAAGCTGACTGTTTTTATTTTTACATATTATCTGAAAGCAAACACATTTTTTATGCACTGAGAAGAAGCGAACGTGTCAGTAATAAGCAACCTCACCGGCTAATAGGAGTAGATAGGTGGGTGCAAGGATGAAGGTGTGTTCTAATATGTCAGAAGCAGCTGTGTTGGTGTCTGATGAAATGTAGCACAACAAGACAATAGACACAAATTTCGAGGTTTAAGTACATTACTCGATTTCATTGAATCGGTCATGTAAAATTTAGACACAGATGAGACCAGACCAGAGCACATAAAACTACAAGAAACAAAACGGTTACAGTGTCTGACTCCAGTCAGATGTTATAGTTATGGTTACCCTCTGATAATGCACCTCAGGCCTCACCACAGGCAACAGTTGTAAAACCAGCAATGTTATCGCATGTGAGTATAGCAAGACACCAGTTTAAAAGCAAACAATTGTCACCTTAAGCATACATAGTTTGGAATATACATATCCTCTTTCTGTAGTGCTGAGGTGTTGAATGGCATCACATAACCGTGACTCAAAAATTAACTTAAGGTTACCAGTGAGGCCTCAGCTGTTTGTCCCCAATTCTGTTGTGATGACCAGTAAAGAAAGCTGCTGCATTTAAAACCGTTTTAGTGAGGTTTGCCTGAAAGCTAACATTAAGGAAAAACAATTTCATGTTAAAGCAGTCTTTTTCATTTTTCTGGTGCTGGCAGAGCATCAGCTACAAGAGACCTGGGGCTGGCATCATGATGCAAATTGAACTCTGGGTTAGCCGGCTTTACTGAAACCAACATCTTACTGTTATTAAGGCTATTATGAAGCTGGTTTAAAGTCTTAAAGGCGCTTTTTAACTCCAGCTGTGAGCGCACTCGGAGCTGCCGATTTGAATCAGCATCGGAGTCGTAAATGTAGTGCAGCGTCCAGTGATGCACTGATAAATTTGATCGTGAGGACGGAATAAAGTAAGATATCGAAAAAGCAAAATAAAAACCACGTAAGCTGCACAAATATACTTATTATCAGGGATGCAAAAATGGACTCCATACAAAAGGTGAGGACATTGCCTGGTCAGAGAAAACCTGCTGGGGTGTTGATTTTAAAATGTAGTTAATGTAGTTTACATGCTAATAAACCAGTTCTGTCAATTATTATGGGTTAAAACAACTCTGGCTAAAACATATAAAAAGAACAGATGTGGGAGCTGATTAGGGACGACCTGTTTTTCACACAAGCCTTGAAGCTCTCTCTCGATTCCCTCAAAAAGATGCTGTTTCCTTCAAGCCTTGTATGCTTACATTAAAACTTGTTTGCTGTTAAACCGGCGTGTCTGCACATTTACACGCAACACATTGTCGGGTATTGCTCGTGGGGTTATTTATGAGCATGTTTGGAGCTGTTGATTAACATCTATGACAGAGCGATTAGAGAAGTATGATATATAATGAAAGAGTAATAACTGCAGGGGAAAAAAAGGTGCATTTTGCAAGTTGAAATTAAAAAATAGATAGACTTTTTTGTCTGGTTCCCTAATGATGAGGAAGCTGGTGTAAATATGTGGTGAAGCATAGCTGTCTAATGCACGATGAGATCAGTGGAACTGAAATGCTTCATTTATATTTGAGGGAATAATTTAACAGCGTGAGGGTTTTTGTTCTAGTAAAAGAAAACAGAAGGCTTTTACTGTACTTTCCGTTTCCAATTATCATCACAAAGACTCGCGTGCTAGTTTAAGCTGGAGCGATGAAGAAAGTGTGTAAAGACACTGACATTTTGGAGCAAACAAAACGCTGCTATTTAGGTTTCCCACACGAGATCATGCACACATTCCTCAAGAGTTGTCTGCCATATTGGACGTGATACAATCATTGGTTCAATCAAGGAAACATGTATCCCCAACATGTATGACTGACAAGTATAGGTTCCTGGAAGTTGGTGGCCCTGGCTAAGTCCAGACCTTGATGAAGGCCACAAGCCGAAACGCATTGGTCACCCAAAAAAGTTGTTCGCAAATACATTAAGTGTCGCTGGAGTCCGCACGTCATCTTTTCCATGTGCCTTGGAAGTAGGTGAAGTTGTCCCAGAAAAACAATTGTGGCTCTGGCTAAGTGAAATTGGTTGCAGAGATGGTCCTACCAGGGGTTGGGAAACTCCAGGCCTCAATGGAGTTTCCCAACCCCTGGTAGTGTTCTGCAGTGTTCTGCAGGTTTTAGATACGTCCTTGATGCAACACACTTTAAATGGCTAAATTACCTTCTCAGCATGTCTCCAAGTTCTCTAGAGGCCTGGTGATGAACTTATCATTTGATTCAGGTGTGTTGACCCGGGGTCATATCTAAAACCTCCAGGAGGCCTGGAGTTCCCCACCCTTGCCCTACAATGAAAAACTATTTTTTGATTGCTTTGGTTGCTAGCACTTTGCCACGGTTGCCTTTAATATTAGGAAAAATGCTGAGCAACTGCAGCAATGTACTAGCAACCACAACAGTCCTTGCCAAGTCCTTGCCAACATCTTGGGGAATATCTTTTTTCCTACAACAGGTGGTTGCCAGGGGGTCATTGACCACTCTGTAGGCCTGTGTTACTGGGACTTTATACTTTTTTTGCCAGCAACTTCCAGCAACTGCTCACAACCTGTTGGGAAATACTAATTTTTCACTCACAAATGGTGGTTGACAGATGGTTGCGGACTGGTCTCTAGTCCTGCGTGACTCGGGTCTTGTTCTCTTGATCCTACATCGTCACCATGATTGTCACACATGTAATATTTACATTGTCACACAAAAGGCCCAAGGAGTTAACATCACATGGTTACTGGTCAGATGTCCTTTATTGGTTAGAAGCTCTGTTTTAAAAATGAAAATCCTGACAATGAGACAGTATTAGAAAGCAAAATTCAGCTGATCTCTATAAACAC